GACACTGTACTTAAAGAAAATCTGTTGCAGCTTTGCACATTGAAAAACTGAAATGTATACATTCTTCTCTGCAAAAAAAAAAAGCTGAGGCTCAGTCAGAATGAATGTAGAACAAGTCTTCCAGCAGATTTTTGGGCTATTTCAAAATGCATTAAGCACAGCAACGATGTGAGCCGAGCCAGCAAGTTTTAATCATCTCTCTTTAAGAAGCAGTAAGCTCTGAACATGTTGTTGTTTTCTCATGTTTTCTTTGTGTACCGCAGGATCTGAATAGCCGTGCTCAGGCAGAGGTGTCAATCAGAGAAGCCCTAAGGGAGCTGGATTTATGGGGTGCTGCAGCCATTTTCACTCTCACTGAGTACACAGACAGCAGTGGGCGCACACTAAGTCTCATCAAGGACTGGAAGGATATAGTCAACCAGGTGACGTGAAACCTGCTTGTTGATTTAAGTGGATGTGTGTGTGTGTACAAGGTCTGTAAAATAATGACTGCTGGGACACAGTGATTACACTTTATTATCATAGAGTTGGAAATAACTTCATTATCGTAAAAAATTGATTTAACAGTAAATATATCACCCCTGAGTGAGTGCTGAATTATATTCAGAGTAACTTACAGGAGTCTGTTTGACTGTTTTGCTTACATTCTTTGAGTAGGTGTCACTTGCATGTTTAATTATCTGTTTACTTGCAAATGTTAATAGATTTGGCTCAAATTCTGTCCACTTTCTGCTTCTGAAAAAGGCTGCATGTAAACATTTTTAGCATTTAATTAAAAAAGAAGAGAATATTATTATTTAACTAGAAAAGCTTTCTTTTTGTTACATACTTTTTCAGGCTGATCTTAAACTCAGACCTAAGAACTTACCTTAAATAACTGTTTTAGAGGAAAACATGATGTTCACAAAGATACGTTGTAGGAAATACAACGTTAATTAAAGTGGACATTAATGTCCACTGAAATGTTACGGCTTAGCAAACACTGGCTCTATCACCACTCTCTGCCCATACAGGTGGGAGATAACCGCTGTTTGCTGCAGTCTTTGAAAGACTCACAGTACTATGGCAACTTCCAGGACAAGGTTAGATCAGATTATTGTTAAACTTGAATTTGTGAATATTTGTCCTTAGGATTCGAGACGTTTAAAGATCTTAACATTTTTTAAGTGGTTATAGCCAAAACGATAACATTGATGCGTTGTCTCGTCAGATCAGCCTGTGGGAGGTTCGCCTGTCAGACTTAGATGAGTATCTGCTCAACCTTAATGCCATTCAGAGGCGCTGGGTTTACCTAGAGCCTATTTTTGGAAGAGGAGCGTTGCCTCGAGAGGAGGCCCGCTTCAAACGAGTGGATGAAGATTTCAGGTATTCTGTACTTGGATTTGTTCCACATGCACATACATTCTGTTTGCTAGTTCTTTTTTATAAGTGTGTATTTTTTTTTATATGATAGTTACACAAAAGACACGAGGAAATAGACAGATAATCAATAAAATGCATTTTATGGAGAGGAAAATAAAGAAAAAACATAACATTTTCTTCATGTATGCAACAGATCTATAATGTCAGACATCCAGAGGGACAACAGAGTTGTTTCTCTGAGCTCACGGGCTGGCATCAGAAACTCCCTGGTCACATTACTGGATCAGCTGCAGCGCTGCCAGAAGTCACTGAATGAGTTCTTGGAGGTACATTTACAGACTTTGCTCTGTCCAAATATATTTTTGCTTACTTCGCTTTCCAGCAAATTGTAAAATTGTCAAATTGTGTGGTTTTTGCAGGAGAAGCGTTCTGCTTTCCCACGATTCTATTTCATTGGTGATGATGATCTTTTAGAAATTCTGGGACAGGCGACGAACCCGAGTGTCATCCAGTCTCACCTGAAGAAACTCTTTGCAGGTCGGTCACCTCTGCTGGTTTCCGTTGTGCTGTTACATCTTGCTTCATTCCATCCTTTTGTTTCCCTGCCGTCCAACTGGGCAGTAATAATTTAGACACTGAGATCTGCATGTGTGTATTGTGCAGGCATCTACAGTGTGGTGTTTGACAAGCCATGCCAGAACATTGTTGCAATGTGTTCTTTGGAGGGAGAAGTAGTCCAGCTAAGAAACGTTGTGCACATCTCCAGTCTTGTTGAGGTAGAGAATCTTCTGAAGGTTTTTAATAGTCCATGATGTATACTCAAAGTTTATGGTAAAAATATTGTTTCCATTGTCAAGAATTGTATGTTGGTGCTGACCGGAGCCAATGCATTAAGTCTTATAATTTTTCAAGGTTTGGTTAAGTGAGCTGTCCTTGGAAATGAAGGAGACTCTGAAACATCTGCTGAATGAATGTCTGTCTATGGAGAGGAAAGGGGAAGTGGATCCCTCACGCTTCCCTTCACAGGTACACACACAAACACCTTTACACACTTAACTGTTTTGAAAGTCTGGTGAAACTGGACCACACCACTGTTTCAAGTTATTAAGTTATGTCAAAGGTGACTTAAAGTTTAAATCATATAATTCACTCTAAGAAATACATATATATCTAATTTATTGTATGTTTGATGTAGATCCTCTGCCTGGCTGAGCAAATTCAGTTTACTGAAGATGTGGAAAGAGCTATAAAGGAGAAAAGTTTGCATCAGCTGGAGTTGGAGCTTAACAGCAAATTGGAGCACTACACCACAGTAGAAACCAGCTCAGATGACCATCCTAACACAGGTGGGTTGTTGTGGTTAATATTATCTTTAAACATTTTGTTTTGGATTTTTTTGTTTCACTCCAGAAAATGGAAACAGAACACATCCTGACAACAAACAAATAGATCTGAGATGGTTTTTTTTTTGTTTTTTTTTCAGATCTACAGAGCTCTCTCACTTTTCAATCATTCCACATGCAATTTAACATCTCTGCATGTTCATTAGGGCAGGGCAGAGATCATTATATATAATGTGTTTGAATCAAATGGTGTTATAGCAAACGATCCCCACCCCTGATGGTCATCCACTTTTTTGACAAAAACTTGCTGTACTTCGGTTCTATAATTTAGTTAACCGTGTACCAGTTCACTGTCATATTTATTTGATTTATAATGTATATCATTTTGCTCATCCTCAAACAGAAAAAAAAAAAAAAAACCTGCTAGTCTTAAGAAATATTTATTTGCAAAAATATTTTGGACCTCTTTTACTTCTTCATAATTATGTTGTAATTCAGAAATCTCAGAAGACGTAGGAATGTTACCCTAATAACTGTTTTGAAGTTTTTAATCTTTTCTTTCCATAAAGGACTATTAATTTCTTTAAAGGCAGTCACACAACTGCCTTTAAATTTTGAAGTTCACTTCTCACTTTTCCTTTAGGAGACATTTAGGAGTTCAAAAGTCTGTGTGTGTGTGTGTGTGTGTGTGTGTGTGTGTGTGTGTGTGTGTGTGTGTTTCTGACCAATTCAGTTCTTTACAGATTGTAATTTTTTGTCTTGTTTTGAAGGCACCCATATAAATTGTGTGCTGGAGTTGGAATTTTTTTTTTTTTGGAGACAATGATTTGCGTTCTGCATTACAAAACACAACATTAATCACACTCAGGCCTTCATTAATATCATCTTCTGACCCTGTTGTCCTTAAATTAGGTTGTTAGACATATAACCCACTAGTGCCATGCCCCTTAAGATAAATTATGATTCTATAATCATTCTTAGTAGTTGTTGTCGCTTTTAGTGTGCACTTTACTCATTATTTTTTGTTTTGCGGAAGTCTTTTTTCAGATAAATTGCATATCATTATGATTGTATAGGAATGTTTTGTGGAACCTCTTTAAAATTAATCTCACATTAGCCACTGATACTCATTTGTTTTATACTTTCTGCACAGTGATGTGTTAGTCAGTAATGTCCCATGATGTAGAAAAATGAAGTAAAGGATTGTGTGTTTGATTGTTACACAGTCAAACAGAAACTTTTTATGAACTTCACATCCTCTTGCATTGTTAGTGATCTCACTGTGATTGAAATGTTTTGTTTTATTTGTACAGGGAACTTTGAGATAAGATGTTCATGACTGATCTCATGTGAATTTGTTCATAGGGGCAGTACCGTTTAAAACTCTAGACACTTTCTGACTTAAAGCTATAACGACCCAAGGCTTAAAATATGGCTTCACAAAGTGTGACAATCTTTTTTTTTTCTTTCTTTCTCATAACCAACATATAAAGAAAGAAAAAAAGAACTTTTCTATTTTAATGCAAGTTTGTTATTCATGCATGAGATGAAAAGTTCCTCCCTTGCACTTGTAATGGCGCCATTTCATGGAACGTTGCTGAAAAATGCTAATCCAGCATGACTTTCAAAAATCCACATTCTGTAGCAGCATTGCTTATTTCTATACTTTCATCTGTGAAATGTAACTGGGGGCAATTTTTTCTCGCTTTCAGAAACTGGCAAAATGTGACTCCAGGCTTTTAAGCACGGTTATAGAGGACCTTTCTGTGTAATTTATTAAAGCATTGCATTGTAGATTAGGCTTATAAGATGTCTACAGATAAGGTTCATTCTGAGACTATTTTGCACTTAAGCCTCAGCTATTCAAATGTAAAATGTTTTCAAGATAGCATCTCATTACATTACGGAATCCCTTAAGTACAACCTGGAGAGGCTGTAGCCTGTTCACAGTAATTAAAGCAGCTAAAGTAATGCCAGAAGGGAACATCTAATTTCCAGATTTACATAAAAGAGCTGTTAACCAAAAAGGAGAAGAGGAACTTTTTTCCTTTGCCACAGAGACAAAACAGGTTGGCAATTTGACAACATATTTGGCTACATATTTTATCTGCTCCCATGCACAGGCTTGGATTCATCTCTTTTTAACATCAGTGAAGTAAATTTGCTATCTTTATCTTGAGAATTTTTTTTAAATTTTTTATTGTTGCTTATAAAAAGGGTTAAACATTCTATATTAAACTACATTTTTCACATAAGATTTAGCAGACATACTCTGCTAAATCTTACGTGTTTGCCCGTGAGAGTAAATGTGTCCGATAGCCTTTGAGTCATTTGAGAACATATAAACATGGTATTACTTAGAATTAGGCATCACTTTTGTGGAAACATTTTAAATCAGGAAGTTGCCTAAGAGAAATGACCTCCAGTCACAGCATTTGTCGTGCATGCAAAATTACTGCTGCAGCTTGGAAACGGTCTTTCATCAGCCATGACTCTTCTGTTTCCATTCTGTGCACCAATAATACTCATCTGGATGAGTTGGAGACTAGAGTCACTTTCTATATTGCCTCAAGTGCAATTTTCAGGATTTTATACTTATAACATCAGGCCAAAAAAAAAGAAAAACAGCATCCGTTTTTTTCTGTTCACTGACTTGTATCAAAAATAATAACTATCAACATCGACAAACTGTGTGTGATTTGATGTGCTTCTTTGTAGTTGAATAAATATTAGATCTAGGAACATGCTTTGATGCAGACTAATTCTCGCGTAGATTTTCAGTTGTCTCTTGGATTCAAACATTCTATGTCTATTAAACAATTAACATCTTATTTATTTGCCTTTTATGCTGTGTTATCTTTAGTAAATCAACAGTAAATTATTAAATACCGCAATTGGTCTAAAAGAAAAATGGAAATTGGCGTTGGCCAGAAAATGTCTGATCGTTGCATTTCTAATTCTTTCTTTGCATTTCTAATGAGAGCAGCCTGTTTTATAATAGATTAAAAGGTGTCATCTCCTCATCTCCATTCTGTTTTTAGCATGGAGGGGATCTTGACAGAGTAATCTTATAACCTGAAGATCGACAAATGAAATAAAAAAAAAGAAAGATTTCCCTGTCTGTGAACCAAAAATACTTTGTACATGTGATTACATTACAGTGTTTTTCTATTGTGCACTATATTGGATATAATAGGGATTACTGCTTTGCACATGTATCTCTTATGTGACGATCTTTTCATGTGATAAGATTTTGCCTGTTTATGTTTCTAATATTTATGCATGTCCTCCTGCTTAGAGTCCAGTATCCTGCAGCTGAAGCTGAAAGCGTTGATCTTAGATATCATTCACAACATCAGCGTGGTGAAGCAGCTCAACCAGGCAGGCGTCGCCAGTACTGACGACTGGGCCTGGAAGAAACAGCTCCGCTTCTACATGGGAACAGACAAAAGCTGCCGCATACACATGGTGGACGCACAGTTCAGCTACACCTACGAGTACCAGGTGGGACGAAAGCAAATGATAATCATGTCAACCACAAACAAGCTGTACGTTAACTTAAAATGAAGTCACTTATTCTTCACACCGTGCAGGGATTTTATTGTACCAGAAATGGTAATTCCTCTTTTGACCTTTTGGGGGCACTGTTTATGCAAATATCACAAGCTCAGAATAACCTTGGTGCAGAGAACAGCTTTTTCCCCACTGCAGTTCTCAGTCAACACATGCTATACTCTTTACCTGCATTTTGTTTCCCTTTTCTTCAAAGATGCCTCATTGTTTGCCTTTTAGTAGTTGCTGACGTGTTTTCGTACCTTTGGTGCCCTTTTGCTAAAATTTTTATTTCTTCTTTTTAACTGACTCCTCTATGCCTCTCTCTCTGTCTCTCAGGGGAATGCTGCTAAGTTGGTGCACACACCGCTGACTGATAAATGCTACCTGACTCTGACTCAGGCCATGAAGATGGGGCTCGGTGGGAACCCCTATGGGCCCGCTGGCACAGGAAAGACTGAGTCTGTCAAAGCTCTGGGGGGACTCTTCGGACGCCAGGTGTTGGTGTTCAACTGTGACGAGGTGCAAAGAAACTTCATACGTGGGCAGGAATAGTTGACTGTTAAGACTTTTTTAAGGGTATTAATGCTTAAAAAGTATTCAAATTACATCCTTCAATAAGGATGTAATTTGAAGAACTTGAAAAATGTTTTAAGTTAGTTGGATGAGACATATTGTTTTATGATATATTTGCACCTTGTTTATGTTCTTTTGGTAGTAGGACTGACACTGTTTCCGATTTCCATTTAGTTCCCACATGCATTTTTTGGGGGAAAAATTTAGATGAGCATAACTATTGTATGATATTCTAATAAGTTGATTATTCAGTAAGGATTTAGTTATTTATTCCATTATTATTAGGTTCCATTATTTACAATGTTAGTGGCATACAGTGGCTCTCAAAGTTTGACCACCCCTGATAAAATACCAGGTTTTGAGATTCAAAAATTTGCCAGTGATACAAGTGATGGGTGGATGAATGGTTGACTCGTTATTGAAGAAAACACAACATTCTTTTTTTTTCCCTCTTTCTTTTCCCAGGGCATAGATGTGAAGTCAATGGGAAGAATATTTGTTGGGTTGGTAAAGTGTGGAGCGTGGGGCTGCTTTGACGAGTTCAACCGTTTAGAAGAAGCTGTGCTGTCTGCAGTTTCCATGCAGATTCAGGCCATTCAAGACTCATTGAAACACCACAAAAAAACCTGTGAGCTGCTGGGAAAGGAGGTAAGACGATAAAAAAAAAAAAAAAATAGAACCTGACAGATTTTTTTTAAACTACTGTTTTGTGTGATTGTGCAAGTTTTGTATAATAAAATTGTGTATGCTACTTGCTTGTGGTACTGTGCCTTTTACTGACCTTCACCTCAAGTCAAATTCTGTTTTAATTGGTTATTTATTCATTGTCTATTATGTTGTGTCTTTTGCAATCAGTCGAATAAAACAAGTGTTAAAAAAATATAAACTACTATATATATATATATATATATATATATATATGTATATATATATATATATATATATATATATATTAGTTTTGTTATGGAGAAGAGGTTTTGTTATGGAGAAGAGTTTTTTTATTTTGTTCCATTTTCCAGGTGGAATTGGACCCCAACTCTGGGATTTTCATCACTTTGAACCCAGCAGGGAAAGGCTATGGGGGGAGGCAGAAGCTTCCAGACAACCTGAAGCAACTGTTCAGGCCTGTGGCCATGAGTCGGCCAGACAATGAGCTCATTGCTGAAGTCATCCTCTACTCAGAGGGCTTCAAAAATGGAGAAGTACTGGGACGTAAGCTTGTCGCAATCTTTAACCTGGCCAGGTAAAAACTACGTGGGGGAGTTCTTTTTGGTACTGACATTTGTTTTGAAATCTTCCTGTTGCAATTGTCACTCCGATTTTGTGGTTCATTAAGTATTACAATCACTAGTGCGTAAAAGTGTATGTTAACTTTGTGAGTATATTTTCTCTAAATGTCCAACCTTGGGCGCTACAGTTGGTGCTGAAGTTAACTGAAACTTTGTGGAAATAAGCCTCTATTTGTATATCCAGGGAGTTGTTGACACCCCAGCAGCACTATGACTGGGGTTTGCGAGCGCTGAAGACTGTGCTTAAAGCCTGTGGCAGTCTTCTGCAGCAACAGAGGAGAGGTCATAACAAGGAGAGGAGTAAGTCCCCAACTAGCTCTTTTTTTTTTCTCCAATATTTTTCTGAGGCAATTTTACCTCTCCAATCTCAGAGCATGACAAGAAAATTATAAGGAAATGGTTGCAGTCTTTGCTAATCTCTCAAGAAGCATCCTTTGCTATCCTTAAGCTAAAACACACTTGTGGTACACAAATCTGTCAGTGACTATCATATTGGAAAAATGTTGCAAAAGCAGAGGGAAATATTTGAAAATCCTATTGAGCGGTATGACCATAAATCCATCTACTGCTGAAAGAGAGACATCTTCATTATAGCGAGTTCTACAATCAAATGATATGACTGATGCTTTCTTTCCTTCTGAATTTGAAGTGATTCTAATAAAGGAAGTCATTTGATTTGGAGGATGAATGGAGTTTGGAAGAAAGAAAAAAAAACTGTAAAAATTGCTGCAAGTGTCATGAATTGATGTTTTGACTGATTGCACTCCCTAGTCTGAAAATATTAGTTTATGCTATCAGAACAAAGTTAAATAGATTGTTTTTCATCGGTGCCTGAAGGCAGAGGTTTGATTGTCTGACACTTTCCACAGTAGTATAGTCATGCCAGAATCTAATATCACTAAAATACTGACATTAGATGCTGTGTTAGGAAAATGACTAAATTTGTGGCAACTTCAAGAGCATTTTGAAATGGTTTTTTGTGCACCTTTGCATATTGCCAGACTTCTTGTGCAGTCTGGAGAGGAGTGTAGTTTGATTTCAGGTCTGGGTAAGTATGGAAAGAATATGAAGAAATATTGGTTTTCCACACTCCCATACTTTGCTTTACATTGCTTTGTGGTCCGGTTGTAGTTGTGGATGCAACCTTGGCAGCCCTGTTAAAATGCCTAATAAAGCAAAAATCATATATGGACAAAAAACATTCTCAAAAAACATTGCTGTGGGAGCTTTAAAAACATGTAAATCTTTTGTGTAAACTTTTGCTGGAAGCAGAATCCTGTCCTTCCTCATATATTTTAATGAAATACAATTTTAGTTTCCAAAGACCTCACATGTTTAAGTTTAACTGCAGTATCTCCTCTCCTGCTCTTCAAACCTTTTGTTAGCAGTCTCTTATACCTGGCTGTCATTTTTGCTTTTGTTCCACTCACCACGTCCCTAACTTCCTAGTACCTTCCTCCCTGTCTCTCCTCTAATTCTCTCCTATCCCTTCTCTTTATTTCTTTCCTCCATTCTGTTTGAAATCCCAATGGTCCACTACTCACTTTTTATCTGTCCAACATGTGGCCAGACACTCTACGAGTCTCCAAGGTTGTCTTGTTTGTCTCTGTGTTGAGTGTAAAAAAATGAATAGAAAATAAGACAAACCGCAATTGCTCCTCCAGGAAAGACAAATGACTTTGGAGAGGACAAAAGTATTGACCAACTCTTAGACTATGACAGGTTTTCGCAGTTAGCACAGTTTTAACAAGGGATGTGTACAAAAACAAAGGTAATGATGACTTCAGAAGTTAACTCTTTTGTCTTTAATTCCACATCGGCCTTTTTTGTTTTTCTTTACAGTTTTCGATCTAAAGCATGTTTTTAATGTTGTTTCTGTTGTCTCTTTCATCCACAAGCAGTTCAGGAGAGTAATCTGGTGGTGCAGGCACTGAGACTGAACACCATGTCCAAGCTGACATTTGCAGACAGCTCTCGTTTTGACGCCCTGGTCAGAGATGTCTTCTCTGGAGTTAATTTCACTGATGTGGAGGACCAGATCCTGATAGATGCGTTAACACAAGTCTACACGGAGGCACAGCTGGAACTCATACCCAGCCAGGTGTGTGTTGTACATTCAGAATGTCCTGACGAAACAAATGTTTTGTTAGAACAATTAGGAGTCAAAGAAGCACTACAAAGAAGCTGATTGTTGACTGTTTCAGCTGAAGAAAGCAATGGAGCTGAATGAACAGCTGAGACAACGTATGGGTGTTGTGATTGTTGGGCCAAGCGGAGCTGGCAAGTCTACACTGTGGAGGATGCTAAGAGCTGCTCTCAACAAGACTGGCAAAGTGGTAAGAAAATAATGTCCATCTTGGATGGAATTAGTATGCACCTCCATCTCAATTATCAATAATGGTATTAATAGTCATTATAATAAATAATTTTCTGAGAAAATAAATTGCAGGTTTTTATTAACTTTGAGCCATGATCATCAAAAATTAACTGAAATAAACAGCTTCAAATGCATCGCGTTGCGTGTAATGAATCTTAACTTGCATAAGTTTCACCTTTTGAGTTAACTGAAAGCAGTTGAGCTCTTTAATGAAATTCAAAAATTTGAGGTGGAGCTATAAGTTTAGCATGATCAATATTGGATTTTAACATTTTTATGTTGCAATTTATTGTTTAACTTGAAGTAAAATTCTTCAGAAACATCCAGATTTGCAATTGTTGAAAAAAATTTTTGGAAGCTTAGTAAGAGAGTTAAAAAAGCGATGTCATCAAAGTGTGCTCCTTATGATCTCTGAAGGTGAAACGGTACACAATGAATCCTAAAGCCATGCCCAGGCAGCAGCTCTTGGGACATATAGACATGGACACCAGAGAATGGTCTGATGGTGTTCTCACCCACAGCGCCAGGACTGTGGTCAGAGAACCACAAGGTAAGATGCACCCAAATTCACTGATATGTGCTGCTTATCAATACATTTTGCAGCTGAGATGGAGTTAAAATACTTATTTAAGTGTCATTATTTTTGACATAATGGCGCTGACTGGAATATGGCACATGCATTGTACTCCTTTTTGTTTTCCAGATGTGAACTCCTGGATAGTGTGTGATGGAGACATTGACCCGGAGTGGGTTGAAAGTCTAAACTCTGTCCTTGATGATAATCGTTTGTTAACCATGCCCAGTGGCGAGCGCATCCAGTTTGGACCCAATGTGAACTTCCTGTTTGAGACCCATGACCTGAGCTGTGCCTCTCCAGCAACCATATCTCGCATGGGCATGATCTTTCTCAGGTCAGGCAGTGTTCAAAGAAAGCTTAAACATGCAGTTGCGTCTGATCTTTTCAATTTCTTAGTTTGTGGTTTCATTTTTTTAAAATTTTTTATGAAGTATTATTTTATTGATTTTGGCTGTGTTAAGTCACTGGTGTGCAGCACTTTGGTGCAATGTTTGCTTCTTTAAAGTGCTGTTGAAACAGAATTAACCTTTCCATTTATCCCTTATTCTTCCTGCTTGCATCCCTAGTGACGAGGACATCGATGTTGGTGCTTTGGTGAAGTCGTGGATAAGGGGTCAGCCTGAGGAGTGTCGCAGTAACCTAGAAAACTGGCTGGGGGACTACTTCCAAAGAGCTCTAGACTGGGTTCTTAAACAGGCAGGTTACTTCCAATAGACCATGGGGTCAAACAAAACATTCTGTGATTGTATTTAATTTTATTTAATTGTATTTATTTAATTTAATACAGAATTTTACACACCCAAAAACTGTGGCCGTGTTTGCTAGATATAGCTAAACTCTAGAGTTGTCCAAACACAGGTGAATGTATTGACTAAGAGCTTAGTTTTTACTTTTTTCTGACCTCCAGAATGACTTTGTGGTGGAAACTAGTCTGGTGGGCACAGTATTGAATTCTTTGTCCCACCTCAATGCTGTGTCTGAGAGAGGAGAGTTTATTGTTGGTCTTCTAAGGGGCCTTGGAGGAAATCTCAATCTCAAGACACGACATGAGCTTGCTAAAGAGGTATGGACTGTTTTTTTTTTTTTTTGTTTGAGTTATAATCTGCAGGTCTCAAAGTCCTAATTAAGCATTCCTGCTTTTTAATCCTGCAGTTGCTGAGCTGGGCAAGAGAAAGTCCACCAGATGCCAGAAAACCACTTGATACCTTCTATAATTCCGACAGTGGCCACCTAGCAGCTTATACATTTCAACGTCCTGAGGAGCTCACCTTGGAGCATTTTTTTCACACACATGTTCTGCCTGTAATAGAGACTCCTGGCATGCAGAGAGGTCTGCACGGTTTCTCCCCATGGCTCACAGCTCGGCACAGGCAGCCCTTCATGGTGGTGGGACCAGAGGGCTGCGGAAAGGGGTAGTTACACATGCACTGCACAAGTGCACACAAATACTATATGCAGATACGTTTAAGCCATAAAAAAACAGTGAAGTGGTTCCCACCTTTTAGGTTTAATCTGCAGTTTCCTCCTCTTGAAAAGACAGCTTTCTTCACAAGATTTTAAACTGGACTTCACCTAATGACTAATAATTAATTCTTTCGTATCTCCCCTATTTTGAAAGTTGTCGCGACTAAAACCGGTGAAAAACCTTCAAACAAGAAAACACACACAAAAAAAAGTGTTGGAAATACAACTCCATAAACCAAAATTAGCATAACTTCAAAATTAAACACCACTTAAACAAATAATAATTATCCTTGAAACTAAGTATAAAAAGCTACCCCAAATCAAGTAAACATTAGTTTAGTTAGTTTTAGCTTTTTTGTTTTACATGGTACCACTTAAAAATACACATTTTGACTACACTTTAATAAACATAGAGTGTGTGCAACATGAATTTTAAATTTCCCGATTTTTACCTGACTCAGTTTTTAGTGTGATTTTAGGAGGCAGGTGGAATACTCCACAGTCGAGCACGTACGGGTGTGAATGTTATTAAACACTCCTCCTCGGCACTCTGTGGGTTTGGAAACGGGGTTGGGAGTCAGTGCCTGAGGGTACCTGCTGTAACCTGCAGGTTATAGCGGAACAGTGCATCAGTACTTCAGGACCTGATGGTTCGAATTCCACAACTTAGTTTTTCATGGACTCACCAAGAAGCCAGCCATTGGGAGATTATTGTAGGCATGAAGGCTGAACACAAATACACATTTTACAAAATGTCACATTTTACAGATTTTTAATGGTATAAAACTGTGACATTTTTTCCTCCCCTTCTACTTTTTTTTTTTTCAAGGCAGTTTTAACCAATAGTAGAAAAGCTGCATGAAAACTCAAGATTTGTATCTAATATATTAAATCATTTAACTCTCATGTGACAAAACAGTATATTATTGAATAAACTTTTTCTTCAAGATTACACACCCAGTCAAGGTCCCGTTTAAAAATTGTTGCTATTCCATTTTCTTATGCTGTTCTTTTTTTGGAAGGAAAAGGTTAACAAGATCACAGAGGAGGAGAATTTATTATGCTTTAGAGACAGAGTTGTTTAAATCAAGCCCGAGAAATGACAAAATCACACAATCAGCAACAAAATCAAAGCAACTTTTATTCAAAACTTGACCTTTCTTATGAAAGCACTGACAGCTCAAAATAAGAATGCAATCTGTGTTTACTGCTCTCAGGTGTGCACGTGTTCACCAGGAGTTGTTCTGTTAGAAATAATTGCATCCTCCATCAGGCACTAAAAGAACAATGGTCACTCAGTTTGCCTTTTACTCTTAAGTTCAGTCTGTTGTTTTTTTTTAATTTTTTTATTTTTATTTTTTTCTTATCTTGCTTCCCTCTGTCTAAAAGGTCACTGGGCTTGTCGGTTGATTCCTCAGAAAAATAACAAGAAATTTAGTAACAAGCAATATCAGAGCGAAACTTAATCCGCTTGTACATGCAGTCACTTGCCAGATGTTGTCTCATCCTCATAAAATATGTATCCTTCCCTTTGGGTCTGCTATTACAAACGTCCTAAGATCCAAAGAGACTCTTTTATTAAAAGCAACACAGATGTTAGTTCTTCTCATTCTTGCTCACTGTTCTGACACAATCCAAACATAAATGATATCGAGCTGTGTTAAAAGTAAGCTGTATATTTAAACTGATCTGAAATGTTGCTGCAGTCTGTGATCACGTCTAGGAATACATTAAGTGCTTGAGTGTTTCATTTGTCCCCTTTTTGTATATCGCTTACTATCTAGCATGCTCCTGCGTTACGCCTTTGCTTCGCTGCGTTCCACACAAGTCGCCGTGGTTCACTGCAGCGCCCAGACCTCCTCTCGCCACGTCCTCCAGAAGCTCAGCCAGACATGTCTGTTGCTCAGCTCAAACACGGGCCGGGTGTTCAGACCTAAGGACTGTGAGAACCTAGTCCTTTACTTAAAGAATATCAATCTGCCCAAACCAGACAAATGGGGAACCAGTAACCTTATAGCCTTTCTGCAACAGGTAAAGACGATCACAAAGATGGAGATCAGCCAACATTACTAATGTTCCAATCACATTAGGAAAGTGAAACCAGTCTGACATAATCTTACAGCAGCACCTCTTTTACTCTTTCAATTTTGATCCAGGTTTTGACGTATAAGGGGTTTTATGATGAAAATCTGGAGTGGGTGAGCCTCGAGAATATTCAGGTGGTGGCCTCCATGTCAACAGGAGGTACAGTCGGCACCCATTCACTCACCTCCCGTTTCTCCTCAATCGTACGCATCTGCGCCATAGAGTAAGTATGCAACTAGTTCCGCAGACCCCAAGATGAGTTCATTCCCATGTTCATCGTAGTTCCCTTTTGAACTTTCTATTCTGTTCCCCTCTGTTGTTTTACTCTGGGTCTAGCTATCCAGACAGAGAGCAGCTGCAGACCATCTACTCAGCTTACCTTCAACCAATTCTCCATCATAGCCTGGGGAACCAAGCTGCCTGGGCCAGCACAGGAAAAACGCACCAGCTGGCAGGATCTCTTGTGCAAGTCTATGAACAGGTATTAAGGGTATTTATTTTCCGGGGATGTTTTTTTCCTGACGATATGTCAGGGAAAAACATATAGCCATGGCTGATTCAGTTTACATACAAACTGAATCAGCCATAGTGCTTATATGATTTCCTGTTGACGTTTCCCTGAAAAGAACCGGCTTTAGTGTCAGGAGGGTATCCATACCACAACACTCAGAGTTAATCTCATTTAAACGTCAACTAGCTTAAATGGTGACTTTTATGCTTCACAAATGTATTAAAAGCTTCCAACTGATGTGGAGGCGATCCTTTGAGGATTCCCCATGTATTAGATTTTAAAGGCTGTGAACAGAACAGTTCTCCTCACCTGTTGTCGAGGTCTGGTTCACTTGGTTTCGTTTTAACATATATTGTTTTTGTTTCTGTCCCCATTAGGTCAGAACAAAGTTTACAGTGGACGACCACAGTCACTACCTGTTCACACCTTGTGTCCTCACAGAATGGGTTCTCAGTTTGCTGCGATATGATCTTACTGCAGGTAACTACAGCTAGTAGTCAAATTTCACTTAAATCAGCATCTGGTCATGTTATGGGTTAAAAAAAAAATGTTTTGCTTTAAAAAAAAAAAGTAAATCTTTTGAAAAGAACAAAACAACAATTGGTCTTGTGTCTGTAAATAACTTTGTATCCATTTTAGATCCAAAGCTTATGACAAAAAAACAGTGAATTTAATGACAAGTATTAAGTCCTTAAAGTCATTTCAGAAAAAAAAAAAAAAATGTTGTGCAAGATGAAGCTTCAGTATTTGTAATCATAGAAAAATCTGTTTGGATGCTCTAAATTTTCACCACCTCCCTTTTTTTTTTCTTTCATTCTTTCTCCTCTTTGTTCAGTTCCTTTCTGTCACTTGTCTTGCTCTCATCTTCTCTTCCTGTTTCTCTTCTTCTGTTGCTCATATTCCTTTGTCGAATGTATTCCTTCTGTGATAATCCCATTATTTACTTTAATTAAATGTCGCTATACAAAATTTATTTTCCTGTGATGATCAATTCTTCTGACTTTGCATCTTCCTCCCATTTCCCTACCTTGCTGATTACCTTCTTTCTGGTATGTATAAACTTTCTCTTCTTTCATCTGTGGCTTCCCTTGTGCATTTGTCTTTGCTGAGTTTGGCTCAGCAAAGACATGCTGAGTACCATTTTTATTCACTTTTATAGTGTTTAAGTTATTACAATGTGACTTTTTGACAGCAAATTTAAGGCACAAAATCATCTTATAATCTCGCTATAACATACAGTTCTGTCAGGAATACCTAGATCTGGCTGTATATATGGATATTACATTTAAAACCGCCACCTATAAAAAAAAAAAAAAAAAAAAACATTTTTCAGAATAGTCACCCTCACCTACACACACCTGCCAGAAGGCCTTCCTACAGTGACATCGTGCTCTGAGAAAGAGACAACTGGGAGCCCTACAATAACTGGCTTGAACATTTTCTAACAGCACAGCCTAATGTGGTACACATAGCCTTCAGACACTCCAAATACCAATTTAATGGGATATGAAGGCGTCTGTAGAATCCAAGTCCACTCCACAGAGATACTGGAACAGTCAGAGCCTAACAAAGAGTCTCTGTCACCCTGGGAAAAGTTTGTTTTCTGATTTATCAGAAAACAAACTTTTCTGAGCAAAAGAAGTTTTAGTAGCAAAAGAGGAATCTACTCATTGTAGTGGTCTTAAAATTAACCATGATTTGTGTATAACGTTTTTTTTTTTTTTTTTTTAGTTTTTAATAATGTTGCCAACTTTTTATGTCGATTTCCAGGTATGAATTGTGTTTTTTTTTAGAACTGAGAGAGTTCTGTTTTACTTATTTTTTTTTTACCAAGACAGCTGCCACAGAAACTCAGTTGGTTAATACTTTGCAACTTATTCTTATGTTAAAATATCATACTATTGAGCAAGTTATGGAAAAATCTGTAAAGTATTTTTTTTTCTTTTCTATTTATTTTATTTAAATAAAAAAATATGGGCAATAGAAGTTCATAATTTTATTGTTCATAGCAAATCTATATCGTTTTTTTTGTAAGTCAAAGTGTGAACATGTCTTTGTGTATCCTCTTCCTTTTCAGCTCAATCTAATTTAACAGACAGCATCTTGGAAGTGGTTGCTTATGAGGGCAGGAGGCTGTTCAGAGACCGGCTGGTTTCTTCTAAAGACATTCACAACTTCGACAACATTCTCTCCTCCATCATTCAGGGAGACTGGGGCTCTGCCGCTCTGGACAACATGAGTGGTATGAAGCCGCTCTTACTTAGCTAAATCATCAGCCGTTATGTTTATTCATAGCAGAAATATGTTTTATACTGGAGATAATTTGCTTCAAGCTGTGCATATCATGTACATTTACCAAATGCCACTCATGCCTGAAGAATAGCTGTAATGTATAACCTCAGAGCTTGTTTGACAGTTTTGCGTCTGGCAGTTTTTCTGCTAATGGTCTTTCCACGTTTCTGCGAACCTGCAGCAAATTAATCATTTCTTTCTTTTTCCCAGTCGGTTTCTTTAAATCACATGACTAACACACAAACTGTGTGATTAGTGAAGTAGTTTATTCACTGATTGTAGAGGAATGCCCCCCAGTGGTGATTAAATCTAATTTATATCCACATGTTGCAGGTTGGAGGTGTCAGGAATTGGCTATAAATTGGGATTGTAGGTGTCAAATATACTTTGCTTGAACCTTCTAGAATAAAACTAGATCAAGTCATATATGAATTAATAATACCATCTCTTAGTTTCTATGCTGTATAGCTCATCAAAAACAGTGTGAATGAGTAATAAAAATTGTGCTTACACCATTTCATTAGCACATGTGTAGATAAGTTATTAACTGTTTGGACTATTTCTTTCCCTTTCTGAAGATGGTTTCTACGTGACATGGGGCTCCTCTGAGGGGCCTGTCATGGCTCCAGGCCAGGCTCTGCCTCCTCACGGAAAACAGCTTGGTTGTCTGGGTTCTGCTGATTTGAAACAGGTTATACTGAAGGTATAAAAAGAAAAAAACTAAATAAGAAAAACTTACATATTTTCTGTATCGGCTTCGACTGTTTCATAAATATGGATTTAATTAATCGCATTTTTTACACCTCAATTATAAACACTGTTGTTATGTGCTGCCACTCTACTCTTGTGGGGGTCACACGCTTGTTTTTTTGTCGTTTTCTTTGTTGTTCATCACATTTTTTTAATTCATTTTATTGTTTGGTTCATGCTTTCTCTTCTAACAGGGAGTTACACTGTACAGTCGAGACAACAAGGAGCTCGACCTTCTACTGTTCTGGGAAGTGTGTGACTTTGTGTCCAGAGTGGATCGGGTCCTGAGTCGACCTGGTGGCTCTCTGCTTCTGGCAGGAAGGAGCGGAGTGGGCCGGCACACCGCCACATGCCTGGTGTCACACATGCACGGATACACGTTGTTCACACCTAAAATCTCACGCGGATATACCCTTAAAAATTTCAGCAACGATCTTAAGATGGTGAGAAAGGCCTAATTAATTGCCTTTGCCTGGTTGATATGAACGCCAAACAATTGCAACTGTTTTAGCATAAAGGGAAAAAAAAAAAAGTTATTAAACAAAAAAGATTTTGTCTGTATGTCGCTGTTGTATTTATACTGACCTTTTTTTTATGTATCAGGTATAACAAATATGTTTGTGTACGTGACACTTAGGTGATGCAAATAGCCGGCCTGGACGGTCAGCAGGTGGTTCTCCTGTTGGAGGATTATCAGTTTTTCCATCCAGCTTTTTTAGAGATGGTAAACAGCCTGCTGTCTTCAGGTTTGTATTACATAATCTGCTTGATCCTTCCATCAATGTGACCCCAAGTACCAAAACAATTATTCTGAAAATGCTGTTTGTGGCATCTATGGAATTTTAGATACTTTTTATTAAAGATTAAAAACAAATCTTAAAAGTGGTTATGGCAACACATTTAAAAAGCTGAGAAAAAGGGGAAAAACTTCACAGAAAACTGAAGAATTTTAATACCACTAGAAAAGGCTCGTACATTTATTCCATTGTTTGATGAGCGATGAAAAGTGATGCAAAAAGAAACATCTATGAAGATGTGGGATTCATGTTTAAACTCCAACCACTGCTGAAACACTAAATCATATTGGTTTCTTTGGATTCACAATTTTAAGCTTGTATCGAAAACACCTGGCAAAGTTAAGTCAGGTAAAGTCACATACTTTGGCATTAAAAGTGTACAGCAACCCTTGTTCTGCTCCTTTTATCCCAAACAAACTGTTCTGCATGTAGGTGAGGTTCCAGGTCTGTATACCCCAGAGGAACTGGAGCCTGTGCTTTCATCACTCAAGGATGCAGCGTCCCAGGATGGCTTCACCAGACCACTCTACGACTACTTTTCCCACAGTGAGTGCAGGACAATGATTATAATAATATTCCATATATGCCCATATATTTTTTATTATTATTTATTCCAGTATGTGCTCATCTGTAAAGTACAGACTGCACACTCAACCTCCTTTCTCTGCCAATCTTTGTTACATGTGTTATTTCCTATCACAACTTGTTCTTGCCTTTGATTTTATCTGACTCTGGTCTTCTGTGTCACCGCTGTGCAGCGGTGTGTGCTGTAGATACAGTGCCGTGCCACCGAGGCTGAGGTTACTGTGAGGGAATCAAATCAATAGCTCTATTATTGTCTCACAGTTAACCCCCTAAAAAGCTCCCTGCTCAATTTCACTTTCCACCTCTGCTGCAGCAATGTATACTGGAAAAAAAAATTATCTTAGACACAAAGCTAGTTTCTGTCTGAGTACCCTTTGCGATACAACATCCAGTATTCATGTTATTCAGGAATTCAGCAGAACCTCCACATTGTCTTGATCATGGACTGCTCCAATTCTAACTTCACAATCAACTGTGAAAGCAACCCAGCTTTCTACCGCAAGTGCTCCGTCCAGTGGATGGAAGGATGGTCGGAGAGCAGCATGAAGAAGGTCAGTGCAGGACAACCAATTAACGCTGCTGAGTTTTTCTGCATTTTTATAATTAATTTTGAACTATAAATTAAAGAAAAAGCTATGCACAAACAAAATGTAATTGTTTGCTTGATATGAGATTTATATATCAGAAACAGCAGATATTTAAATGAAAGTCATTTCCTAAACCAGAAGCCTGATCCAGTTTCTCAAAGATCCCTTATTAGGAGGTGCTCTGATGGAGAGGTTTATTCAGGGGAAGAAAAAGGGTAAATGTATTTTCAATAGGCATTAAAACAGCATCTTTAAAACACTGCAGTAAAGATTAGGTACAGGGAACATGTCTTAAGGACAAATTATTGGACAAAACATAGTCTGACTTTATAAATACACCTATAGATCTTCTCTCCTAATGAGCGAAGATTACCTTTAAATGAACCAAGTAGTAGAGCTACTACTGACATTAGCAGTGCTTTGTCAGGCTTCCTCTCCCACAGGCAGCGCTTATGGATGAGGGTTTTGTGTTTTTACCGTTTGCGTTTTGTCTTTTCAGAAATTATCCACATTCTTGCTCAGTACAATGAATCTAGTCAGTGACTAAATACATAAAAAGATATAGTTTTAAATTCACATAAAACTAACTTGTTTTTATCTGTGACTCCAAAGGAACAGATTCATCATTGCTTTCTATGAAAATCTGACATTCCCTATTTTGGATTAGATTCCTGAGTTGGTGCTGGCGAAAACAGAGGAAGGAGATGAGAATGAAAAAAAGAAGGCAACCAAAAGGAAAAGCTCAGGTAGGAACGGCTGGACAAAAGTACAAATATAATATTTTTAAATTATTTAGGATATGGTTCTATTTGTGTTTGTGTGTGCGTGTGTGTGTCTGTGTGTATTAATGAATTATTTTTGGGTTGTTGTGTCATTTCCTTTTGTGAGTTCATTAATGCATGTGCATTAATTTTTAAGAAATGTATCTGACACGTCCTAATTGTATTGCTCACTGTGTTAATGATCCAGAAACAAATTTGTGTTTTTCAGGCTAAAGTGCTTGTAACAGCTGCATCCATGCGTGCAACAAAAAGAAGATTACTGAACATGTGTCTTGCCAGATATTATTTTTCTATGTTTCGCTTATTTATTATTTTGCTCTCATTTTACTCTTGAAAATAACACTTCAGATGTTCGATTGAGTCCAAGTCAAGACTGATGCATAAGTACAAACTAAAAACAAATTATAAGAAGTTTGTGATTAAAACCATTTTTTTTTTATCCTTGAATATCAGCGGGGTCAGAACCAGGAGACCTGGGTCGTTTGTTCCTGATGGTCCATGAATCATGCAAGGAAAACGGTGCGACGCCAAGCCAGTACATGGCCTTCCTGCACGTGTACACGACACTACACAGCCGGAAGCAAAACCAGCTTACGACGAGACAGCAGCATCTACAGGTAAGTGTCAGCCACGCGTCATGCACCAAACGGATTTTCCATCTTTACATCTGTTTGATTAAAACAGATTAATGCATTGTTTTCTTAATTTGCTAGAGGATTTGGCATCATGCAATTTTTGCACGATTAGATTAGTCTTTTTGTTAAGGCATCAATCTTAAACATTTACAAGTGAGTGTTTTAGTAAGACGCCACATGTTCCCGATTTGCATAAATCCTGATTGTGTCTCATCTATCACGGCTTAAGTTGGCTTGTGTCTTCAGGCAGGTGTGTCCAAGCTGAACGAGGCCAAAGCATTGGTTGATGATTTAAAGAGGCGGGCTGCCGAGCAGAGCGCGCTGCTGAAAACCAAACAACAGGAGGCAGATGCTGCCCTGCAGGAAATCACCTCCTCCATGCAGGTGTGTTTGTGTCTGTGTTGCTTTCTGTGTACATGTATGTTTGTGGCAATCATTGCTAAGCCGGGCAATTCTCCTCCAGGCTTTCATGTCTTTTACAACCCACCTCTTCTCATAATGCACCAAACTTTTCCTGGATTTCCCCTGGCTGTGCCTTCCTGTAGTGAAAACTTTTTTTTTTATTTACCTTATGAGCATATATGTGCACTTGTTTGTTTTGTTTCTTCTCATCTCTTGATACTTGTTTCCATTTTGGTTTCCGGGTTCTGTCTTGAGGACAGACGGCTGAATGAAAGGACTGATAAAAAGGAAGCTGAAATTCTTCAGTATTCACTCTGTGGGGAATGTGTATTTTCATTTTGATGGAGTAAGGAGGGAGAAAAGTGAAAAAGTAAAACAACAAATGTCAGTGGAACCAGTTTTCAGAGAGATAATTAACCACTAGACTCGTCCCCTTGGACTGTAGCAGCGAGGCTGCCTGTGGAGAGCAAGACAGCAGGAGAGAAAAAAAAAAAAAAACGAGCTGAGACAACAAGAGGAAAGCTGGAAACACACATCTGTTGAAGCTTAATCATAATGGGAACATTCAATCCAGCGTGTGGTAAAGGCAGTATATTAGTCACCTTTTGACTTTGGAAGAGTTCAATAAATTAAGAGTTTTGCATTGGATTAACTGTGGCTGGACGATAAGGCTGAAAAGTGTATCACGATATAAGCATTTCATATCAGTCGATATCAATATAATTATTGATTAATTTTTTTGTTGTAAATGTCTGAAATGCTGCCAAACATCCTTTTCTGTTTTATCCACAGTTTTTACTCTACGCCATTGTATTTTTTAAGCAGGTATGAGGAACAGTGGCAAAACCTTAAACTGTTGTTGCGCAAGTTACACAATAAGTTGTTGCTAGGTAACCAAAGAGTGAGTGAATTAATTGATGCCAGTCACCATGCTTAGCTGGCCGTAAGAGGTTGAATGGCTGTTTCTCGTCCAGTTCTAGTATAAAGACATATGTCATTATTAATAGATCGCGCAAAAAAAAAAAAAATGTCCCTTTCCATCCTGATTTGCAATTTCTGTCTTTGGTAATCCAAAAACTGGATCCACGAGAAAGGCTTACATAAATTAAAATAGGAATTTCCCATTCACTCAACACTCAGCATGGCATCTAAATTTTAGGCATTTTCAGATGCATGTGAAGTTTTTCCCCTGAATTTTCAAGTTGAGCATTTTTCTGTACATGCCAGCCAATTTCCTTTTTGCATGACAATCACAGTTGAGGTCAGATGAGTGCTTTGATGCAGTGGGGTTTTCTAACACGACACTGATCCCAAACATATATGGAAACTGGTTTTAGGAATGGATAAAGGAGGCATCTGGAATGGCCTTCCCAATGCCTTGTTATGAAAACCATTAAAATGTAGAGTTTTATGCTTAAAAGTTTTCTCTGTTCCAGGAGACCAACTATTTTAATTCTAATTCTAGCAATTCTGCCTAGAAGAGTGGTTAATAAGCTGGGATTATCCCAGAAGCTTTTTTGCTTCAGATTGTGAATTTGAGGTGCATCACAAGGGACTGTTAATCTGATATTAGTTAATCTAACTTTAGTGTGATTTTGATATATTTCTTATTTTATATTAGCAAAAAGCATAATAAATTCAAACTTGAGCACTCAATTTTTGATTTTGTTATTCATTCAAAATAAAAAAATAGAATAATGAGCCTTTGCTGAATGACTGTAAACATTCACAAGAACTGCATAAGCAATAAGTTTTGAATGTCAAAACATTAAATATCCCCTTTTTTTTCTCAAGCACTGTGCTATTTTGGAGTTTGTTTGTTTTGTACTCTACTTTAGTTTTTTTTTTTTTTTTTAACAATCCAGAATGCCAGTGACCAGAAGACAGAAATGGAAAAAATCAAAGAGAAAATGGCTCAGGAAATGTCCAAGATTGAAGAGAGAAAAGCCAAAATAGATGATGAGTTGAAGGAAGTTCAAGTAAGTTCTTGGCTTGACTGCCTTGCCCATTACTAGAAAAGCATGCCGTACATTTTCGATTCTAGCAATCTCATCTGCATTATCGCTCACTTAACCATGCTGCCCCTGCAGCCTTTGGTAGATGAAGCCAAGCGTGCAGTTGGAAACATCAAGCCTGAAGCTCTGTCTGAGATCCGCTCTCTCCGCATGCCCCCCGATGTCATCAGAGACATCCTCGAGGGAGTGCTGAGACTTATGGGCGTCTTTGACACCACCTGGGTCAGCATGAAAAGGTAACTTTTCAACTCCTTACTGACTTATCTGACACCAGAGTGCTCTCTCTCTTGCTTCTCTTTAACTCTGTTGTTTTCTGCAGCTTTCTGGCTAAGCGTGGTGTGAGGGAGGATATTGCTACGTTTGATGCTCGAAACATCACCCCAGAGATCCGCCAGAGTGTGGAAGAGCTCCTCAACAGGAACAAGGCTTCTTTCGACCCTAAGGTCAGACAGCCGTGATTGCAGCTGAATGAGACATAAATGTGTTTTTTGGTAGATGTTAGTATTCTCTTGATGCTGTTCTGTTTCTGGGGCGTGGAGGTGACACTGTGACTGCTGTGTCGGAGTCGTTTCTGACAGTAGGCGCTGTTTTTGCTCTCAGAATGCAAAGCGTGCGAGTGCAGCAGCTGCTCCTCTGGCCGCCTGGGTCAAAGCAAACGTCCAATACTCCTTTGTACTGGAGAGAATCGAGCCATTGGAAAGAGAACAAGCTGGACTTCTGGAGTAGGAGACAAACACACCTCAGAAAAAACACCTGATACAATTTTAATGTTCTATGGAAGCACACCATTTTGTATTAATGGATTTTTATAAATTTATCTATTCATGTGAAAGTGTGAACAGCACCTGGTTGATAATATTATATTCTACACTTACAGAATGCGTAGCCTCTGTCAATCCTAAGAAAAACAAATGTATGGGAAACAATGTTATGTGTGTTTGTGTGTGTTTGTCTATCTGAACAGAAACCTTAAAAAAACTGAAAGTAGGAAGAATAACCTAGAGGACCAGCTCAACAATGTTGGAGCGAAAGTCAGCAAGTTGAAAGAGAAGTATGCCCTCTCTTGTCTTCCATCCATTTTTATTATCTGTTAATTCTTTTATTTTTGTTTATCCTCCTTGAGAAAATCTTGTGGGACTTATGGTTACTTATTTTGACTCAGTAGTCTGAGTCTACAAGAAACCCAGCATAAAAATAACTATATATATATATATATATATATATATATATATATATATATATATATATATATATATATATATATATATATATATTTTTTTTTTTTTTTTTTTTTTTTTTTTTTTTTGTTGGGGGGGGGGAGCCAAATTTTTTATAAAAAAAATTTTTAAAAAAAAAATTTTT